GAATGTAGTCTTATGTAACATGCATAGAATAATATATAGCACATACTTATGTATTGTTTATTACTCTTTACAGCACCGACAGTAGCTGGGAGCCTACTGAGAGGCCTGAAAAGGACGAGCTGGAATCGGCCACATCACCAACCGAGCCTTCCTTCTCCCCAGGACCACTGAGCCCACCACAACCAACCAGCACACCATCACCACCAACAGCACCGCCGACACCAACCACATCTGCCCCAAGACCCAGGGTCATTGTACGTAGGCGTACCGTGCTCAGACCCCGACGCCAGAGGTTTCAAAGGGAGGAGAACAGGCTGGTTGAAATATATTTTTTTTTAATCGATTTAATTTTTTTCCCCCACATCCTATTCCATATAAATAATACTTGAAAACAGATTATAAATTGAGTTAGGGAGGGGTAAGTAATGTCACAGATCAGCGTTGATCTGTTATTTGTAGTTCCACAAACCGGTGTAGCTCCCAGATTGTAGCTCCCAGCTCGCTGCATGAGCAAATCGCCAGGTGAGAGTGTATATATGAAATTGGTGATTGATATGTACTAATTTATATTCATAAATTAGTACACATAAATAATTAATTTCATACCTACACCCGCTAATAATCACAGAGAGCACACATTTTAAACTCTATTTATGCTTCTTTACGCCAGCATTTAATTGGTCTATAATTCTACAAAGGAGTCATGTATTGAACTTACCGCAAAGTGATCACCAATCGTTGCGGAGGTGGAATGCTGTCCCGCATGAAGGTGTCCTGACGCTCCAACTGGACAGACAGCAATCCCAGTAACTCATCAAAACGGTTTGTGGTCAATACTAGCAATTAGCAATATGAATACATGAACAACATATACATGTACTCCATTACAATGAATGGGACAGAACAACAATAAGCACTAACAATTGTTTATGTACTAACCTCTTTATGGACATGCGGGTGTAGTTGAAGAACTTATCCTCATGTCCACGTAGGGTCTGAAACATAGCCCAAAATTGCCCTCTTTCCTCACGGTTGGCTATTTTCGGATGTATCCAGAATCGTCGCCTACTATTCCTCCTTCTCCACAATGCTATCAAACGCAGTGCTGCAACGACTGCTGCAGTCCTTCTACGTCTGGTCAGCTCCATAATGCAACAAATCACTCAAAACTGCTCTCTGCAAAAGATAATCCATACACCACACGGTCTTCTGCATACAGGAAAGGGAAATGCTGCGTCTCAGGAAGTCTTTTTCATTGGACGCTTGCGGAAAAACAGGAATTCTTCTTCATTGGATACCTCTGTTGTCGCTCCAAAACGCATTTTGTGCATCGCGCGTTTATAATGTACAAAAACGCGCTAAAAACGCTCATGAAAACGCGTCAAACGCCGGTAAGAAACCGCGCGTGTGACGCGCTTATGCAATACGCCCAGGTGTGAACAGAGACTTACGGTTTGTGCCTATCAGATTCTGACCTCCAGGGGCCAGAAATGAAAGCAAGTTGTGTACTGTCAGTACTCAATTTGTTTGTAAGCAGGTCATAAAGAGGACCTATCACGTAAAATATACTTAACAGGTTAATGCTGCATTATGGCTACTAGATGGAGCTGAGGAGAACAGGAAATACTTATTGGTTCAGCTCCATCTAGTGGCCATAATGTGGTATTCACTTGATATTACATTTGACCAGCTCAAATGGCTAGGGCAAATGTCTCTGTGAATTGATTATAAATACACCCCCAAGTATATGTACAACCAAAATTGTTTTAAGTTTAGGAAGTGCTAGGAAGACTTAGAACTCCTATCATGTTTTACTGCAATCCAGGGCTCTGTCAAGAGAAATCTTCCCCCACTTCCTGTCCTGATGTTTTACCAGACAGGAAGTGAGAGAAACTCTCCAACCGCAACATATACATATATGTTACCCCAACCTGTCCGTCTGTCGCCCACCTTGACTGCCTTTAGGCATTCCCTAAAGACTCATCTCTTCAGGGAAGCCTATCCCACCTCAACCTAACCGCTCAACCATCACGTTCTCAAATAATTCATCCCCACACAGCTACCTCCTCATATATCACTTCCCCCTCCCTTTTAGATTGTAAGCCCTCAGGGGCAGGGCCCTCCTTACCATCTTGTCTTGATTTGTATTGTGCTTGTAATGTCTTCCCTATTTTGTAAAGCGCTGCACAAACTGTTGGCGCTATATAAATCCTGTATAATAATAATAATGTGTAGAGAAGGGGAAGGCTGGAATTTTTTAATTCTGCCTGTGTTGTTTTGTAGTTTCCCTCACTTCCTGTCTGATAAAACAATGTGAGCAGGGCAGGAAGTGAGGGGAAATGTCTCTGGCAGAGCCCTTGATAGCAGAAAAAAAAACTGACATGGGTTCTAACCCTTTTTTCAACACATTTGTTTTAATGTGAACCCGCATACTGTATGTGCAGACATATTGTAGGTCCCTCTCAGGTAGTTGGGACTTTAGAGAAATCCTGAGTGTGTGCACACCAGCGCATGTGTAGCATCTTGCAGCTTGCATGCGAAATAAAATCATGAAGGAAAATTTGTTTTCATGACCAGGAGTATCAAGATGGTAGCACATAAGCAGAGTGGTGAAAGGAAAACTATGGTTGCAAGGAACACAATGCTGGACACTATGGACTAGTATATATGTTTTCATTTGCACAGGGACAATTGTTGGTGAGATGGAACTTAGATTTCCACAGAAATGGTGGAGTTCCACTTTAACGTAAGCAGGGCGCCATTCTAAGCACACAAACTCGTCCGCTACGGCCTAGCTGGCTGTAGTAGATACGTCACCACGCGGAAGGTGCTCTGATTGGCAGCTGGAGAGGGAAGATGGAGCCGGTGGGCGGGGCAAGGCGCTGACGCTGCAGGACGTGTCACGTAAGCGGGAACGTGCCCTTCCTCCCCTCCTCTTTCGCTTCTCCTTGACGGCGGCGTCTATAGCAGAGCGAGCTCAGAGCTATGCCTAGGCCAGGAATGGAGGTGAGTGAAACATTGTGCGCAGCGGAGGTAGACAGAATGAAGATAATGGCGGACGCGACTTCTGCGTCACGTCCGTCTGTCGATAGAGGGGGCCGGAGACGAGCTTTGCAGCGTGTGCTGTGCAGGCCGCGGCGCCTCTCCAGAGAAGGAGCGCGAAACTGGAGGGGGGAGGGGAGAAGGGTTAGCTAAGGGCAGAGGCGGACAACCAATGGCAATGGGTCGCTACAGGGATGGGCATGCTGGTGCTTGTAGTCACCTATCACTGAATGTACACCGGCTGATACGGCAGCACTACCAATGTGAGCATTCTCTGTGGCCGCGCTTTTCTGCAATACGTTCCCATGAAAGCAGATCAGTCTAATCTTGGCACATCTGGAATCATGTGACTGCTGATTATCTCTAGTATGGGGGTGGGTGCAGGATGCACTGGGGGAAGATCCATTCGGGGGGGGGGGAGTGCAGGGGCTGATTCTGATTCTGTCATGGCATGCATGTCTGTATTTGATTGCCAGCTCTGGTTGCTGGATTGTAGTATTTTGCATTAGGGTCAGCACACTGGCTTAGTGGTTAGCAGTCCTGCCTTGAAGTGCTGGGGTTGTCTGTTCACAACCCTGGCCAGGACATAATCATTGGATTGAGTCTAAGTTTTTCTGGTGATTTGCCTGCTTTCCTCCCACACTCTAAAGACATGCTGGTAGGTTAGTTGGGCCTCTGGTATAAATTATCCCTAGTACAATTTGTACAAATGGGTTATCACATTCTGCATTCCAGCCCCATTCTCGTGTAAATTGGGAGGGGTGAGGAAAGACCTAGTGACCTACCTCGGTAAAAAAAAAAAAAGCGTATATGACCTGGTGCCTGGAGAGCTGGCCCATAGGGCCACAAAGCACACACTATTTGCATTGCATAGAGGGACTGAGCTTGAACATCTAGCTGCCAATGTCCGAGTTAATAGAATGGTAAATCTCAGCTTTGTGGCAATCTAGGTGCTCTAACATGCTGGGATTTGTAGTGCCACAACGGCTATACAGGCTAAGGGTAGTTATCTAGGGTGGCATCCCTAGATTGTTGTCCAGTGTACCCTGGAGCTCCCAGGCTCTGGCATGTAGTAGATGTTTGTGGCTGGTATTGCTGTAAGTGTGACCATAGGACAGCTCTATATTGCTGCAAGTGTGACCATAGGACAGCTCTACTCCCACCACCTTCCCATGGCTTGCAAATGGAAGGTGGCTGAACTTGAAACTTTAGACTTCAGTGGCAGCGGTGCAAGGACTGACCTTGGGGGGAGGAAGGTGCAACTTTATCACTGGGGGGGGGTCATATTCAATAAAACACTATTACATGTTCACATTCATATCGCATAACTTAAAATGAAATTGCGTCTTTACGTTTTAAGTGCTTTCAGCGTGACTGACAGCTGGCTCTGCCTATCTAGAGGCAGTCAGCTGTACCCGCCCCCTCCCCCGTCCGTACCGCCAGTCAGCGCTGGAGGATCGGAGGGGGGAATCCAGCCCCTCCCCTTTCACAGCAGAGAGCTGTGACAGGATAGAGAGGTGAGCGATCGCCGCCATGTGTTCGCTCACCTCCTGATCTACTGAGCCGACCTGTGACAGTCTCATTGTCACAGGTCGCCTAGAACTATGAGGTGAGTGAAAAGCACTCGCCTCCTAGTTCTCCTTTAACCAGTTGACATCCGCGGTGTTAAACCCCCTTCCCATCCAGGCCATTTTTCAGTATTCAGCGCTGCGGTACTTTGACATTTATTCCGTCATGCAACGCTGTACTGAAATTAATTTTATACCATGCCGAAAAAACGAGCACATATAGACGATCGTTTATATGTGAAACACGCGGTAACGGGTGTTTGCATTGGTCGGGTCTTTTCTGCCCGTGCGCGCCCGCTAGGTGCCGTCCGTCCGTTTTTTTTTTACAACGGGTGGACGGCAAGTCGTTAAGGTACTTGGATGTATTTTTAAGATTTAATTCCTGACTTCAATGTCACTTTAAAGATTTCTTGGCTTGTATTCCTCATTGTTTCTTAATGAGGGGAAACTGTCCACAGTTTGTCTCTGAAATTGTTCAGAATAGTTTGTAATCCGGTGTACATTCCTGCTCCAAAGAAACTAGAGCGATGAGAACTCATTTTAAAGTGATTTCTAATTGTGGAATGTTTTGGTTTTTGTAGGAACGCTGGCAGTCTTCCGAAGATTCTGTAAGTATACTCGGCTTTTCAAGTCCATTTTGACAAAATTCACTCTAGAATTTCCCTTCACTACGTTTCTATATTACTAAATATTTCTGCTGTATTTTTTAAATATCCAGTTTTATATTTAAAAAAAAAACTTTTTTGTTTTTTATTTATTGCAGCTTTTGTTTTGTAAATTCATAAAACCCACGTCAGATGACATAATGGGAAATGCAGCTTATCTGCAGGAAAGGCACAACAATTTGTCCTAGCTGTGGTTTGGAATTTTTTTTTTTATGTTAAGTTTTTCCATGTACATTCATAAACCAACAACATGGAGCACCTAATGGATGCATCACCAAAAAGAACATAAAGGAACAAAAGGGTTAAGAGGTGAACCCATGGTTTGGATATTATTGCCTAAAATCCACCCTTGTAGTACGAGGCTTTGCTTCGCGTTCTGCAGCATGCTAGTTGCTGTAGGTGGGAAGCAGAAATATTGGCAAATGAAATGTTGGGCTGAACTGGCCACAAATCATATATTTTTAGTTGTCTAACTGGATACTGTACATGTGTGATCAAACACATGCAAATTAGTTCATTGGTGTGGCAAAGATGATATACAGCCAGCAAGCAGGTTTCAATCTAATGAAATCTGATTTGCTGGTCAGTATGATTTACTGCATTACACCGCTCTTTGCTTTTAATGTGCCTAGTACAGATAATGGCTGTACAGTTCCTGGTGGATTTTTATTGTTGACTTTGTGTAAGAATGCTTTTGTCATAAAGGGCAGTAAGGGCTTTCTACAGAAGTAGATTAAATATATTTTCTGTATTAAAATAGAAATTTTGGACCTCAGAAGAAACCGTAAGTATACAATCTGATTTCCAAGTCTCATCACAGTAGACTTCTCATTTTCCACACTGGGTGTTGCTGCTCGCTTATTTGCACATTACTTTGCACTCTTTTGGCGTATATATTTAGGGGGTTAGCTCACAGCATTTGGTTTTGCACAAGTATTTTCACATTTACTTTTAACTTAAAGGAGAACTCCAAGAACATTTTTTACCATAACGTCTTCCAGGACAGCATCACGAGATTGGAATCTTCTCCCCCACACACAGGAAACACGTCACTTAAACTCCTTAAAAGACCCTCCTCCAGTCTTTTGTGTTTCCACAGTAAAGCTGGGGAGCGTGTCACAGAACGCTGAGAGGGGCTTCCATGTGGTGATGCTGCCCGGGAAGTCTCCTTTCGTTAATGGCTGCCCATGTAGGGCAGATGGTGTAGGATTGCCTACCTGTTGTGAGCCCCAGGGATTCTCCTAGCGCTGTCAGGAGATGAGGCTGGCTTCCTTTCCCCCTTCAGTACCCAGTGCGGGCATCTAATAAGAACCCATACTGGGCTGAATTGATCAGTGTGACGCTCTCATTTTTTTCCAATACACTGCAAACTAGTTTTCTAAAGGGCAGAGAATGTCTTAGATTTATGTATAAAGAACACTTATTTATTTTAGAACTTTTAAACAGTGTCTGTTAATGTATTAAATACACAAATGACAGAAATTCTTTACTGGATTAGTGATACGAGTAATGTAATCTCTTTAATCCAGGGACCTGAACCTAAGGAACCTGAACAGTTAAGGAAGCTCTTTATTGGTGGCCTGAGTTTTGAGACAACAGATGACAGCCTGCGGGAACACTTCGAACAATGGGGAAAGCTTACAGACTGTGTGGTAAGTTTATACGCTAAGGTGCACAGCTTGTCAAACATGAAAGCTTACTTTATGAATCATATTCATTGGTGGTGCCACTTTATTGTTCTGGAATTGTTACTGATTTGCTTAATGTCCCCCAATTGTGCATCTTACTTTAACTGCCGACATTCCATGTAATAAGAGGGATGACAGACCGAACCTAGTGATTGTCACTTTTTTTTTAAATTATTATTCAAATGTGACTTTTTTTTTTTGTATGCTTTTAATAATTTTCAAATAGGTCTGTAAAAGATTTTCCTTGTGTTTCTCACTTGGTCCTGTTAGATGTTTGTCATGTTTGCATTTGTACCCATCATAGGTGATGTGCCAGTTTGCATTACGCAAGTATATATAAAAAATGCTCTATTACTTTCAGGTTATGAGAGACCCACAGACAAAACGCTCCAGGGGCTTTGGCTTTGTGACTTATTCATGTGTGGAAGAAGTTGATGCCGCAATGTCTGCTCGTCCACATAAAGTTGATGGTCGTGTTGTTGAGCCTAAAAGAGCAGTTTCCAGAGAGGTACATTTTTAATAATAAAAAAAAAAATGTATCCCTCTTAAGTTCGTAGGAAAAGCCTTAAAAAATGTTCCTTTATACAGGATTCAGTCAAGCCTGGTGCTCATCTTACTGTGAAGAAAATATTTGTTGGTGGGATTAAAGAGGACACAGAAGAATACCATTTGAGAGATTATTTTGAGAGCTATGGCAAGATTGAAACTATTGAGGTGATGGAAGACCGTCAGTCTGGAAAGAAAAGGGGATTTGCTTTTGTCACTTTTGATGATCATGACACGGTTGATAAAATTGTTGGTGAGTAAAATTTGCCATAGCAAGTTTTCCCTTTGAACCCGCTACTGGTGAACTCGACCAATTGTGTACTAGTTTTGGCAGGAAGCTTGACTTGTTTACTTAGGTCTTGCTCTTATAGGTTAGGTATTCTATAAACGTGAGATTTGGGCTACATCTGGATGAATGCTAAGTGCAGTACGGTGTAGTTATGTCTTCCAAGGACTGGATAATGCAGCAACCAAGAAGTTTTTATCACAGACATTGATAAGACTTGTATGTAAACACCTGATGTCAAGACTGAATGTTGCTTTCCACAGCCAATGAGTCTGTTTAGCCTTTGGTATAATAATACCGTTCTAGCAAAGCTGTCTTTTTTTTTTTTTTTTGCTTTTTAGTTCAGAAATATCACACAATCAACAATCACAACTGTGAGGTTAAAAAAGCTCTTTCTAAGCAAGAGATGCAAACTGCCACCACCCAAAGAGGTACAGTATATTGCAGAGTTGATAGACCTGAATTGGTTGCCTTAGAAATGTGTTCTTTGACTTTTTTTGATTTTTCTTTCTTGGTTTTAGGACGTGGAGGAGGAGGTGGAAGCAACTTCGTGGGTAGAGGTGGAAGTTATGGAAGCGGTGGAGGAAGCTTTGGAAGAGGCAGCGGAGGCAGTGGTGGTGGTGGTGGCGGTGGCGGCGGGTTTGGGAACAGAGGTAAAATGCTGAGATTCATCTGCATATACTGCTTTAAATGTATTGTCTAGACACAACCTAATTGGTCTAGGCCAAAATGTGTTTTGTGGATCGGGCTTGCACTTATCCATCTATTCTGATCTCATGACTTGCGTGTGTGGTGAGATTTGTAGTGTTTCAGGTTTTGTATCTGGCATGTTAGCAATTGAAGGACAATACATGCAAAGGGTTTCTCAACCATAAAGAGTTATAATAAGTTTATCAATCCTCTGTTTCCAGGTGGTTATGGTGGTGGTAGAGGTGGCTATGGTGGAGGAGATGGATACAATGGCTTTGGAGGAGATGGTACGTTTTTTGCCTGTGGTGTGTTGTGTTGCTGTGTCTTTAATAACTTGCAGTTTTTCAAACTCTTATGGCCAACTCTTACACTTTCTGTAGTGTATTGGGTTGGCACATTCTACTGATCTCCTAAATACATTTTTATGGTTGCCATTTAATTACTTAGGACCTGGGAACTATGGAGGTGGCCCTGGCTATGGTGGCAGGGGTTATGGAGGTAGCCCAGGATATGGAAACCAAGGTGGCGGCTATGGTGGTGGTGGTAGCAGCGGTGGATATGATGGCTACAACGAAGGCGGAAACTTTGGTGGTGAGTTATTTTTTAATCTTGGCTAATACTTTTCAGTTTTAACTTGCTGTCAAATGTATTTGTAACCTGCAAAAAAGGGCATATTTAGGTGTGTTGGTACTCTTACAATGAAACTATTTGCTCCCTTGTGATGCAAGAAATACCTGTTGATCCTGTCTGAAATGCGGAGCTCTCTCATCAGCTCGTCATCACTTGGACTACAAAGCACCATTTTTCTCAGTGCTGAGAAGGGGGAGTTTTAGTTTACCAAACAACAATTGGGCAGGGCTGACACAATTTCTTAGTTTCAGTCCAGGAAAGGTACTGTTATCAGCCCAAGATGGCAAATTAGGAGCTGATGACACTACAGAGATGTACTGCATATATTTTGTATTTTGCCCTGAAATTATCTTTACTAGAAAACATGGTTAACAAGAAATAATGCTTGTTTGGACTTTAAACACCTATTTGGGATGCTGTACTTGTAGGTGAATCCCTACCTTTCAGTGAAAATCAGTCTGATTCTTTCCTTTTTTATTTTAAGCATTAAGTACCAGTTATATTGTATATCTTGTCCTGTTTTAGGTAACTACAATGACTTTGGAAATTATGGAGCTCAACAGCAGTCCAGTTATGGACCCATGAAGGGAGGTGGCAGCTTCAGTGGAAGGAGCTCTGGTAGTGGAGGTGGTCCTTATGGTGGTGAGTAGTGTAGATGTGCAGGGCCCCATTCACACCAGTGTGTTCCGTCATCTGTACACATTTTATGCAGATGCATTTCTATTTAATTTTTATTGGCGTGTGCAGGTTTTGTATTACCATACAAGTCTATAAGAATGCAAAACCATCTTGAAGCAGGGCAAAAGTCCAGTGCAGCTCAGATGCACTTAATGAATTCTGAATGACCTCTGAAGTGTCTTAAACTGATGTAAAAAAAACATGGACGCTCATCCCCTTGCAGGGGAACGTGTGGACGTGATTTTATCACCCTCCCCTGATGCTGTCTCCATGGCACCCAGGGAGTCTGCCTATTCCCATACAGTCTGATGTACAGGGGGTGGAGTTTGTGAAGGAAGAGATAGTGAATACAGGATCCTCTCAGGGGACAGGAGATCATGAGGAAGATCCATTTAATACTCGTGGTGTCCAGCTGCAGGTATCAGCATAGTTTAAATCTTTTTGACATATGATCTGTTTACACAAGTTTTGTCCACTTTGCATATAGATTGGTAGGAAGATGACAATTTTGGCGCCTGAAGGGGAGTTCACTTTACTTTGGTGTTTGGTTTTCACTGTTTAGTATATATTTGCACTTGTCCTGTATTTGTGTTTTATTATCTGTTTTGCCTGAGGAAGGGACTTTGCTGTTCCGAAATGTCGCTCTGAGGATGTGACACCTGTGAAGTCAATAAACATTGACTTTTCTACATCTTGAAGTGCTTGTGACCTTTTTTTTTTCTTTTTGGACTTAAACTGAGGTCATCCACGCAAGCCCAAAGCCTGTTGACAAGCCATAAAGCATTTTTGGCTTGCACTGGACAGGAAGTGCTGTGGTATTGGAATCCAAAAAGCAAGCATCCCTCTGATGTACAAGTACTGAAAACATAGCAAATCTGTGCAAATTTAAATGAACCGGTCTGAGTGAGTGAAGGGTATATGCAGGGCTTGAAAACTTTTAGGGTTTTTCACCAGTCAGTCAAAAATGTCACGAGTCAGCATGACCGGACTATAGCCTTGCAATTTATGTTAAATAATTTTTAGGGACACACAAAGCTTTCTTTTGGTGGTGTATACTCGCCAAGGGGGGGGGCCTACATTATGTTGAAAGACATTTATTCTTACCCATGTTTTTGGTAAAACATAAAAGTCGGGGTCACGTCGGGTAAATAGACACCAAACATGTCAAGCCTTAAAATTGTGCGCGGCCGCAAACCACGACCACACCGAGAATTGGCCGTGGGTGACGCTTTTACAGCTCATCAGTTTAATGTTATTAGTGATGGCCCTAAAATTATTGCTCACACTCCGACGTTCGCAGTGATATGTAATATGTGCGGCACGAAAGGCAGAATCGTCTTGGCCTGTAGGCGCACCCGACGCATGTTTGCGAGTGTATATGGGGGGCAGGGGACTTAACCTAAAAAAAAACCCACTAATTTTTTTCTTTTTTTTTCACTTAGCAATAAAGTTATCACATGGGGGGCTAAGAAGCCCCCCTTCCCCCCCCCCCAATGTGATATGTAGCTAGGACTGATAGCTGAATGCGGAAGTGATGTAATATACATCACTTCCTGCTTTTGGGGAGAGGAGATCAGGGGGAGATCGTTTACTGATCTCCCTTAGATCTCCTGACAGAGCAGCCGTGCAGGTCCCTGCCGCACCGGGCACAGTGGATCTCGGGAACGGCAGTGACAGCTGATGCTAATACAAGCAATCGGGTGTCTCTGGAGATACCCGATTGCTTGAATGTAAAGCTCCCGGCCGGCCATTTATTTACAACAGCCAGCCAGGAAGCTACTCGGCTGGCTCCGGCGTCCTCTCGTCGCAGACGAGAGACTAGCCAATTTTAGATGCCCTATGTATATGGTTCTTTGACTGCACTTATTTTTCCAGGTGGTTACGGATCTAGTGGTGGTGGAGGTGGTGGTGGTGGCGGCGGCTATGGAAGCAGAAGGTTTTGATTCTGCAGTAGATACCGGTAAGATATTGGATGTGTTTTGTGCTGATAAATCAATCTGCCTGACAGATCACTTGAGTAATAACCTTCTTGTCCTGTATCATTCAACAGGCTACAGTTCTTAGCAAGAGAGCGAGGATTTGTCAGGAAAGCTGCAGGTTACTTTGAGACAGTCGTCCATGTGCATTAGAGGAACTGTAAAATCTACTACAGGAGCAGCGAGGATCCATAGTCAGAAAAGTTACCGCAGCTTATACAGGAGGCAATTCTTGTTAAGGACTGGAATAGCCACAGTTCTTTTTTTTTTTCTTCCCCCTCCCCCCCTCCACCATCAGTGCAGCTGATGATTAATGCAATGTAGTGTTGATTTAGATGTACATTCCTGAGGTCTTTATATCTGTTGTAGTATGTTTCCCATTATCCCATGATGTCAGGTATATTGCCCTATCCTTTGTTCTAGTGATACCAGGAATAAAGAATTAAGGAATTTTTAACTTTTAAAACAGTTTTTGTGTAGTTTAGGGACCCCTGCTTATCGGGGTTCAGTGTTTTTTGCTCAACAAAAATAAACTTACTTTAGTATTTTTGATGAGCTAGTGTCAGATTTTTAGAAAATCATAGAATGTGAACAAAAAGGTGGTGTTACCAAATGTCCATGTCTCTAGTGACTGAAATCAATAAGTCTGTGGTTGCGATTATGATACAAGTGAAATAGGTGTGAAGGGCTGCTGGGGCTTGGGGAAACATACTTGGTTAAGTTTGGTCCAAGCACATTCAGGCCTGTAGCTGCCCAGCCTCCTCCCCATCCATCAACCTTGGCACCGGGCTTCTGTAGCCTTAAACATCCAGTATCCCAATAAGCTGGCTGCGTGATTGAGCACAACACATCATAGAATGAAAACCTCCCGCTTTCCATTTTGTACTATAAATCAGATCATGGTAGTATCAAATTTGTTGCTGTGACTAAACGGATTCAGTCATGTAATTGAATAAGTATATCATGTTGGGTTAGTGTTTTTATTTTGTGGACACTTCTCTTCGTAAATTTGAGATTACCTGCCAAGGCAATATAACATGCCACTTGGAAGTGGCCAAATGCCCTTGTATGACCTTGTTTAGCTAATTTGAATGTTTACATTCTATACCAGTTTAAGGCTTCTGTCCCCATGTATGTTTTCTAATAAAAACTGGCCTGTATCTGTAAACCTGCCTCAGTTCTTTTAGCATACCATTCCAACATGGTTTTACATGGGAAGCCAGTTTTTGTACAAGTGTGAATCTAAAACTTGATTTCACAGAAAAGTGAAACGCCAGCTTGTTGAGGAGAAAAAACACTCCAGAGGCCATTTCTGTGTACTGGCTAAAGTTTCAGATGACTGCGGGAGCTACTTCCATGTTCAGCTCCCTAGTCCTATGAAAAAATTCACATCTGGGATCCATTGTACATGCTGGCATTCTGCAAGTATCTAGTCATAGATGCTGTTAATCTTCCTAAATGACTTGGTCCGCTGGACTTGATGTCATAGTTAAGGCTGCCCTAAAGGGAAAAACGCCAGGTTTTCTTTTTTTTGTATATAACCAGAATATTTAAGAGACTAAATACTTAGCCTCTGGTTCTATTAGTTTCTGCTGTGATCCAATGTCATCTAATGTGCCTAGTGGTCATGTAGTCTCTGCAGCTGAGCAGGCCTGTGAAGTGGCTCTACCTGATCAGTTATGCCTCATTCACACAGGCGTGCACGGCCGTGTCGCGTCATTCCCGGGAAGGACATGTGCTGCGTGTGATTGTACGCATAAGCCTGTTATTCTTTATGGGAGGACACCACTGTATGCTCACCCAAGCTGCACATCCGTGGCTGTCCGTACTCTAACCCAGACGGGATGGATCCTGTCTGAGCACGGACACCCACACGGATGTGCAGCTCGGGTGAGCGTACAGCTGCGCCTTCCAAAGGGAAGAACAGGCTGCTGCATATAATCGCAGCACCTGTCCTTCCCGGTTACGGCCGTACACGTATCTGAATGGGCCGACTAAGCTGTCTAGATTAGGGCCTAAAAGTGGCACTAAACTCCGAAATTAAATCTTAAATGCATTCAAGTACCCTGAGTATTAACAAAATGTATCTTATTTGTGTATCACTCAGCTGGAGATCCTTAAATCATCTCTGAATTGGTGCTGACACTGTTCTTCCTTCTGGAGGATGGCTACTTTTGTTCCCCATGGACCCTGTGTTTTGTAAAGTAGCCACCGCTCCAAGCTTGCTTCTGTGATGGACTATAATTTCAATATAAGATTGGTATGCGTGAGATTGTAGTTCATCGTGGGAGCAAGCTTGGAGCGGAGACTACTTTACAAAACACAGGGACCATGAGGAATAAAAGTAGCTACCCTCCAGAAAGGACAGTGTTGGCACCAAATCAGAAATGATTGGAGGATCTACAGCCGAGCGATACGCAAATAAGATACATTTTTCACCAATCATCTTCCAGGACAGCAATCTGAGAGATGATTGGCCATTCAGTCTACAGGACACACAATTGTTAATAATGAAGGTACTTGAAAATGCAATCAAGATTTAACACCAGAGTTTAGCGTCTCATAAGATTCTGCCTTGGTAGTGACCATGTGGCTGGTTTTTGTTTTTATGTTAATTATTGTGATCTTTCACTTGAGGCATGCCTACCTTTTACGGATATCGTTTGGCCTTTAACTTGCATTCTAAGGCGTTGCCACCTAAGGGACTCCACTATTTTTTTTTATAGGTTGCATATAACTTTACCTCTGTCCACAGTCCTGTAAGAAAGGAAGTGAGCAAGTAACAAATGGGTGAATTATGGATCTGCAAAATCCTGATTATACAAGATGGTCACCTGCTGAGAAACTCAAATTGTGACTTCTAAAACCCTCTAAATCGGTGTAGACTGAAAGGAAAAATACTTGTCTACCTGATACCTGCTTTTTAAATAAAGGAAACTTGTACTAAGATGTAGGTGTTGCCTTGGCTGACCTTTCCAAACATACTAGTGGTTGTACTGCTTCTGCTTTTAATACTTGGTCCCTGTCCTGGAACAAACATGCAGATTCGAAAGTCATTACTTTTTGATCTGCTTTCTAGTTCCTGGTTTGTACCTTGGAAAGTATCAAAGCCAAAAGATTTACATAAAACTGATATTGTTGGAAGAAGCAGTCAGCTGTGACAGGCTCCACAGTGCAGGTTTCCTTTAAAGAAAAGAAATGTTACTTTAAAACTACTCAAGTTATATTTCTTTACTTTTGTGCCATCACTATTGACAGGAGACTTGTATTATATTGTACTTTGGTAGTTCATTATCGATAAATGCTTTAGCTTTTGGATCCTAGCTTAAGACAATTCAGCTCTGTTTAAGTAATACTAATGTGCAGCTTCTGTGTGGCAAACACCCTAATTCAGGGATAGGCAAGCTCGGCTGCCCAGCTGTTGTGGAACTAAAAGTCTCTTGAGGCATTGCAAGACTGGCAAGCGCACATATGAGACTATTGAGGCATGATGAGCTTTGTAGCTGCATTGCTGAGGTTGCCTACTCCTGCCCTAAGACTTACAAGAGTGAGACCTATGCAGCTTGCCATATAAAAAAAGCTAGACATTAGTGGGTGGAGAGGAGATTTGTATATGCTTCAATGACTGGTGCCTTTGCTTCTGTATTCCTGTAACCTCTTCAGAACCTGATCTTGCGCCTACTCCATTCATTCCCTATTAGTATGTCAAGTCACTTTTTTCTTAAGTTTTGTATGGGGTGAGGAAGGATTGGGTATTAACTGTTGTTCGTGGCTGTTAAGGTGCCCATACACCTTACGATTATCGGACAAAACTTTCCGTCTGATCGAACCGTCGTACGGTGGCCCCATCCTGCCCCGATTATTGCAAGGTTCAATTAGCCGTAATTAAAGAAAAGCACCTGGACGAATCGCGATAATCGACCGCACCTATTTTCGTTTGCGCAGTGTAGATCGTACAATTTTTGACGTACGGAAACGCCACTAACCTTGTGAAAATCGTACGATCGACCAAAATGTTCAAACCTGCTTGAAAGTAAAGTTGTACGATTGTACAGTATTTGCGGTTATACACTGCCCATCAACCTTGCGATTATCGGACAAAACCACGATCGCATGCGATTATCGGGAAGATAATCGTAAGGTGTATGGGCACCTTTTAGATAGATTTTCCTGTCTTGCTGATGTCTTACTAGACCGAGTGAGGGATATTCTGCAAGAGGAACACACAAATACAAATTACGAGGGTTCTGACCTTCCCCCTACTCTAGAAAAGATGAGATACTGTTCAACTTGGTCTTATTCACTATCACCACCTGTGGTTGCTCCCTAAACAGGAATCCTTCCTTCAACTTGCCAAATTCAGATAGAAAAACAGCTTTTGATGGAAGTAAATAGCTGGCAGAGATTCTAAGCCTCCCCCACTTTATCCAACACTAAAACGGTTTTGGCTGAACCTACTCTTTAAGCAATATGTCCTTTTCTTCCTGACATGTTGATGCAGGAGCAGAAAGATGTCATGGGTGCAGGATTCCTATCGCCCGGTGCCCAGGACATGCAGTTTTGTTTTTTTCTTTCTCCTACATTTAGCCCCGTTGTGGGTAAGAGACATAAGTGCTGTACTCGCATCGCCTCCTGTCTCTGCTGTCACACATGTGCTTTATCTTTTGTACTGGAGGGCAAGCTCTATAAAGAGAACATGTCGCCTCCAAATGCTATCACCATATAGGGGATTTTTAGTCCCTGTGCGGTAGCAATAAAGTTTAAGCGGAAAAAAGTTTTCTTTTCAAATTAAAACCAACCCTGCCACCCCCACCATCTACATGCGTAGGGCAAGGTGAGTGCTGCCCCTATTCCACTGTGCCATATCATGAAGCAGCGATATCTAATATGCACAATGTGCACTAAAGGGAACGTTCACTTTACCAAGTAATTTGGGAAAAATTAGTTTTAACCCAAACCGTATTTAACCGTGCTAAGAAGCGCTTCTCATCGTTCAGCCCAGTCACCTGACCAATGACACACTGGGCGGCTGTATGGGGTACAGATAGTACACCTGTACCGGCGGAGGGGAAAAAGTGTGGGAAAGTGAGCGTACCCTTTAAAATGACCACTATAGTCTTTGGACAAGTAGTTTGTTAAATTTCCGCACCCCTGAGTTAAGATAGATATGGCCCAACCTTTTTTATGCTATAGTTTCCTTTAGTGTCACAGGAGGACATTTATGAATGTCCTCCTGGGACCCGAAACTCTGCATTTCGTGGGCTATTACCTGCTGTATACTGAGTGCAAAACCACAATGCAGCCGGGACAATATTGTCGGGAGCCACCCCGCTGGCTGACAGCTGGCTCTCTAGAGCCAGAGGCAACTGCCCGCCCCCTTCCCCGTCAGTCCCTCCAGTCATCGCTGGAGTAATGGAGAGTGAAGGGGGAATACCTACGGGGAGTGGTGACTGTCAGTCCCTGCAGGGTTAGGATCGGGAAATGTTATCGCTGAGTTCCTGATTAATAGAGCTGGCGGCTCTGTGAGGGTGAGTGTAATTCGTTCTCCCCATAATTCTCCAACAGGTGTTGTAGGACTTGAGGTTGCTTGCAGGTTCACTGGTTTAATGGAGCTAAAAATTAATTATAATTGAACAGTTCTGAAGTAGTGAATAGGAAAACTTAATATATAGAACATCTGTATGGTCCCCCCCTTCATTTT